AACTTTCTGTTAATTCATACTAGTCTCTTTACAGTCTTTATACTATTCTTTACTCCCCTTTTCATCACCCCTGCCCCCCTCTACCCCCCCCCCCCCTTTTTTTTTTTTTTTTTTTTTTTTTCCCTACCCGCGTGATACTTTTCTGGTACACATACTGCCCTTAAGCAACCCTTTTGGGTAGATTGCACAATGACGAACAACCACACATCGAATCGGTCAATTCGCACACTTTCCGTGGCCTCTCTTAACGCAAGGGGCCTAAACGTACCTGAAAAACGTTCGCAACTTCTTACTTACATGAAAAGCCTTCGTGCAGATGTGCTCTTTATCCAAGAAACTCATTTCCGAGCAGACCAAGTCCCTAGATTCTCCAATGTTCATTATCCCACGGCATACCATTTCGTTAATACGGAGGTGAAAGCCAAGGGGGGTATCCATTTTACTTTCCAAAACTCTTCCGTTTGAACTTTCTGAATCGCTCGAGGATCCTGAGGGAAGATTCCTTTTTCTTAAAGGCACCCTCTTTAATAAACCACTTACCTTAGTCAACATTTATAGTCCCAATACAGCACAAGTAGGATTTTTTCGTAACATAGCTAAGTTACTTGCTACATTTCAATCGGGTATTGTGATTCTAGGCGGCGACTTTAATGTAGCATTGAACCCATTGGAAGATACATCTTCGGGGGTCTCATCCATCCCGTTTCAAGCACTTAAGCAAATTAAAATTGAATTGAAAGACCTTCTCCTACATGATGCATGGCGTACTTTGCACCCTTCGGACAAAGATTACACCTTTTACTCTGCGCCTCACAAACGCCATTCAAGAATTGATTATTTCTTTCTTTCGCAACAAGATTTATACGCCTTGAAGTCAGCCTCGATCACTAAAACCGAAGATCCTTTCAGACCATCACCCGATTATGATCACTTTGCAATTCCTGGATACACCAAGTACTTCCAAAATATGGCGACTGGACCCATTTCTCCTAACGGACGCATCAGTTATTCTTCAGATCCGTGTTCTTTGACGAAAACTACTTTCAAGAAAATGCATCCTCGGAAAAAACATCCCCTCTCGTACGGTGGGTAGCGCACAAATGTGTGATACGTGGAATTCTAATATTCTATCTCGTCTAAACGGAAACGTATGGCGCAAGCATCATTCAACGCATTATTGCACAAAGTCCGCACACTTGAGTGCTCCCATAAATGATCTATGGCATTAAGATCTTTTACTGAACTGGAGCAAGCACGTAAACAACTCAGCGAGGTAGTGGAAAAAGAAATCTAAAACGTAATTTTATTCTTCAACAAAAACTTTTCTACGAACATGGAAATAAGAGTGGCAAATTTCTTGCTCGGGCTTTACAATCCAAAAAGGCTGCTCGGCACGTATATCAGCTCCATTCCAAAAATGGACGCACACTGAAAACACCGTCGGATATTGCAGCGGAATTTGAGGAGTATTACTTTAATTTATATAATTTATCCCTACCGTCCAAAATCAGCAGCTGATTACTAGGCCCACGCGAGGTCATTATACAGTCATTCCTCACACAATATCTTCCTAAACAGATCTCTAGATCGCAAGCAAAAGATTTTAGAGAGTGCTCTGACGTTAGCGGAACTACAACAAGCTATTACGCAGTTGTTGAAACCTGGTAAAAGTCCAGGACCTGACGGTTTTACTAATTCTTATTACAAATCTTTTCTTGACGTATTAGCACTCCCATTTCTCCAGGCTTTCAATTCATTAAACACTCCGGGGCAGTCCATGCGCAATCTTTCCGAGGCTCACATTACGGGTTATACCCAAAGAGAATAAGGATCACACGTCCCCAGCGACTAAACTACCGACCAATTTCCCTATTGAATGTTGATCTGAAGATCTTTGCCAAGATTCTGGCTAATCGTCTACTACTACATGTTATAGAATCCATCATATATCCGGATCAGGTGGGTTTTGTTCCGGGAAGAGAAGCCAGAGATAACACAATAAGGGCCATAAATATACATCATTGGTTAACCCAAAATCAACAGTCCGGATTCTTTCTCTCTCTAGATGCCGAGAAGGCGTTTGACAGACTAGCTTGGGATTACCTAGAGGCAGTTTTGATTGGCATTGGACTGCCTTTGCGCTTTTTTGACCTATATTATGTCTCTATATAAAGCCCCCACAGCGCGAGTGCGAGTGAACGGACACCTATCAGACTCTTTTCTGATCAGCAACGGGACCAGACAGGGATGCCCTCTGTCACCTCTCCTATTCATTCTTACACTGGAACCCTTATTGAATTGCATCAAAGATAATGCCAACATTAAAGGGATTTTGATCAATGGTAAAACGCATAAAGTGGCAGCCTTTGCTGACGACATACTGCTTTTCCTGACGGATCCTCATATCACGATACCTAATTTGTTACAGGATTTCAAATTATTTCAGTATTTGGCTAACTTCAAAATTAACTTTTCTAAATCCCAAGCGCTTAATGTATCATTAAAACCGGAGGTGGTTAAACAAGCGACATCAAATTTTCCCTTTACCTGGCAACGAGAAACTATCACTTATTTAGGTATCCAACTACCATCCCATCTTACCGAACTATATGCAACAAAAAATTTTCTACCCCTCTTACGTAACATTTCCAAAGACCTTCAGATGTGGAATAAACCTTGGTTCTCTTGGTTTGGTAGAGCAGCCCATACTTAAGATGAACGTGCTCCCCAGAAATATTATATTTACTACAAACAATAGCAATTCAATTACCAAATTTCATTCTTTCAATCATATAAAAACGCTCTGCTCCTCTTTTCTTTGGTATAATAAACGCCCAAGAATCAGATTCACCCAACTCACTATGTCCAAGAAGAATGGAGGTATTGGATTACCGGATATTTCTCGTTACTACAGGTCTTGCCACCTAGCCAGATTAGTAGACTGGACCACGAATCACATTCATAAGATCTGGGTCGGTTTGAAGGCTGATTTTTCGAAGATACCACTTTCCACCTCCCCATGGCTGAAAACCCGCCCATGTCCCTTCTGAATTTCGGATGCACCCACTTATAGGTCCCACTTTACGATGTAGCGCGCAAGTGTTTCAGGAAAAAGTACTTTCTTCCTCTCCGAGCCCTTTCACTCCGATCAAATTGAACCCGGGACTTTATTCCAGGGATGTCTACGACCTTTCTCGCTGGGTATAGACGGGAAGATAACCTAACAGTACGTCAATTTCTCAAAGATTCTAAGCTCCGATCTAGAGAAGACATTACAAAGGCGTGGCCAGCCCTTACCTTAACGCCTTGGATGTATAGACAAATCCACCATTTTCTACGTAACTCCCCACATCTAAAGGATTATTCAAGACCGCTTACTGCTTTCGAAAAACTCTGCTTTACAGATCTCCCACAGAGGCATGTAATATCCAAATTATATTCCCTATTGGAAAGTTCCAATACATCTCACTCACTGAAGGCCTGTGCAGCCCTGGCAGCATGATCTAGAAATTTCAATCTCACCTGAGGAATGGAACCACATTTACGATCACATGCATAAAGGTTCCATATGTGTTTCTACACAAGAAAGCAACTACAAAGTTTTTTCCAGATGGTATAGAGAGTTCCATCTGTGATTCATAAATTTGATCCTAAAGTGCCAGATTTATGCTGGCGATGCTCCCAGGCAAATGGTACTCTTCTCCATATATGGTGGGAATGCCCGCTGTTGCAGCCCTTCTGGAGACAAATTTTGGACATCATTAGACAAGTAACCACTTACACCCTAGACTTTACACCAGCACAATGTCTACTCCATCACTCCTCCCTTCCGGTGAGGATTTACCGTAAGTCCCTTGCATTACACATGTTAAATGCGGCAAAGCAGTGTATCCCTGTTTCATTGGCGATCAGCCTATATTCCCACCGTACGAGAGTGGATTCTTAGGATCCAGAGGATTGCTGAAATGGAGGAACTGATCTCAGTGGCAAAAGATCACCCCGAGCGATTCAGGAAGACTTGGGCTTGTTGGACCCACTTCCAAACTACTGATACTTACCTTGGCTTGCTGAGGGATTGAACGAGAAAGATTTGGAGACACCGAAGGCCTCTAGAACTTTCACCTCGGCAATAACTCCATTAACGGTCATTCACTGAATTGTATCGCTAATTAAAAAGATGAATTAGATACAGCCAGGCTGTTACGAATAGATGTAACTGGTTTGGTTATGCTTATTTAAATATGAACCTCATCATCCAACCACTTTCCCCCCCCCTTCTCTTTTTTTTTTTTTTTTTTTTCTCTCCATCTCTCTCTCCCCATTCCCCCCTTCTATTTGTCATGTGCGTCTCTTCCCACCTCATTTTGATATCTCATCTCATATTCTTCCTCCATCCCCACGCTCCTCTCTTTCTTTTCTTTTCTTTCTCTCATTTACACCCTCTTTTCTCATAGTCTAATTAGCTATTATTCTCATTCGGTACGGAAAACACCCATAGCTATACAGATGTAACAATATTCTACAACAGTAACCCACATTTTTTTTGAGATGGAAATATATGTCATAGATGCCTTGAGAGGATACTTTTGACGACCACTTCAGAATCCGCTTATGTATACTTTCCTTACATAGAGCCTAGTGTATACCATAATTATCTAAAGTACATGCTACTGTCAGTATTGCTATGGTTACGTCTATCACTTTTGCCTTACTGTGGAACTCCGTCCTCTGATGTTCTACAAATTAATATATTGTCCTGATCCCGTCTGCGTTACGGGAGAACGTACTAGAAACTTTGCACGGACTGCGATCCGTATCTGTCTATCATTTGTTTACCTTTCATACTTCAATAAAACGTTTTTTTTTTTTTTGGAAAAAAAATAAATAAATTAATGTAAACCTTCTGAATCCCATTCTTTTTCCATATCTAGGATTTTCTTCTGCACAAAATTGAGAAGTTCCATGGAATTCGCCATCCATAGCATTAAGGGCCGAAGATCAGTGGCCACCTCCTCAATCCCCAGTGTGCTCAAAAAACTTCTGTCCTGTTGGCTGAAATAATAAAAAAAATGTTCTTATCATTATCAAATAACTCAACCAGAAGCAATGTTACTTTCAGGAAAAAAAACAGTCCATGTAGAGAAAAGTGTCAGGAAAAGAGAAATGCTTTTCATCAGTGCACAAACTGTAAAAGCCTTTAAACTCAAAACAATGAATGTCAACAATCACCATCTAACTGATGTTATGTCACTGTAGCACGCAAGCTGTGGTGAACAAGTAATACATTAAAGTAAAACATTAAAATATGTTAAGAAAAATAAGAAAAACCTTCAAATGTAGCAATTATTTCAGTATGTTTTGTAGATATGCCCATAGTCAAAGGTGCACTGTGGGCTATAGCTACAAAGTACTCACTGTATATTGTAACAAGTAAATGTACAACTTTTATATTTTTAACATTTGGTAAAAACTAATTTTGTGACTAGCTAAAAACATGTTCGAAAAAAGAGAATATATGGTTTATAATTTAAATGAATACTAAGGAAAGTGTTTTTCCAGCATTTCAGTTGTGTTTTTTTCCCAACCAAGGCCTAGGGAATGTCCCTGACCAAGCTCTATAGCTTTAACTGCAGTGGAGAAAAGTGAGGTCAGGGCCTTTCTATGCCTTTTGGTAATGGTACCTGAATCTCAAAAATAGGTGAAAAGCATTAAAGGTCTTTGGCTTGGTGAACAAACCCAAATACATGTATTTCAGCTAAGTATTTACATACTTGATTATAGTTCTGCTTTAGCAATAGATTGCTCTTGTCAGCTAGCGCTTAGTAAATCCACAAAATACATGATGGTGGATTAACTGAGCAGCAAAACTGAAAAGTCAAGGCATCTTAGAAATGCATTATGGGCATAAGTAAAAATATTTGAGACATAGGCAAAGCACAATGAACCTAGTGTGACCGTATTGCAACACCTCAAACCAGGAGTCCTTCAACTGTAAAGTGGACCTCACTACTGAGACATGCCTTCCAATCATGCCTTCCAATGAGCTCTGAGGAAGAAGGCATAGCCTTCGAAACGCATCAGCTATACTGAGTGTCTACCCCCATGATGGGATTCGCGCTGGCTTTTTATCTTTGAAGTCCCTTTGAGGACTACATGCCTGATTTTATTCGCTGTTTGTGAGTACCTATCTTCTATTAATAAATTCTGTTACTGAGGTAATGCGCAAGGTTGGTGTGCTTCTTGTTTTTTGTTTCACTTTGCAGTATCGATCGGGCTTCCCCAGCCCTGTTTTGGAGCTGCACAACCTTGAAATATACTGGTGGTCGCTTGCTCTGGTGTTGGTTCCATCTATTTGCCACTGGTCTGGGCCCTAGAGCGCAGGAGAAATTGCAGCATGCCTTCCAATCAAGCAAGGAAGAAAAGAAAGGCTTTTATTAGAGCTGCATTTTTGAACTATGTATTTAATAATAAAGCTAAGGATTAGAATGCACTAAACAATGTATGAGATAATTCTTTCTCACATTAGTAGTACTTTTGCTGACGTGCAAGTCTTGTGTAGATGGACACATTAAAGTATGCTTTCAGCTTTCATTTGAGGTCAGTTTGAGATTCTTCTGATATCCTGCTGAGTTTCTTCTTCTGAGATTCTAGCCTCTTCTGACCTGCTTTTGACCTGCTTCTAAGGGTTCATGTACTCTGCAGCTGATAAACTCACGTTCAGGAGCTTTTCTGTGTTTTTTTTTAGCAGCCCCTGAACTCTCCCTAATGGTTTCCTATCTGTCCATGTACACTATGTAATTTACAGTCATTTACAGGCAGTTGAGTTTACAGTTTTTTTGAAAGCCCCAAACTTGCATTCAGTAGATTTTATCAGCGTTTCAAACGCCAAACACTTGTAATTGCAGCTAACCGTGATTATAAGCTTTTGCATTTAGAAGCGTTTTTTAACTGTTCCATATCCAACTGCTGTCCAGAGCCTTTTTTTCATCATCAGAAATGCATGCAAAGCATTTTCCATGTATTCAAATGGACCTAGCACACCAGCGCAGCCAGTTCCAGGTTTCGTGTGAAGGAAAAAATGGTAGAATGTGCCACATTATGCTCATGATGGGATCCATAGTGAATACAACCAGAAAAGACCGGTCATCTCAACACATACTGCTCTCTCTGTTTCTGCTCTCTCTATTTATCTTAAAATGTCTGAAATTGTTAATTTTTTACTGTTTTTCAGTGCATTCTTGGCATTTTGGAAGGTCTCCTGATGTTACCTTTAAAAAACGCTTCTAAATACAAACGTACATAAACACGCATAAACGCGGTATGCAAACGCAGCTAAACAGACGATTTTTAACCTAAGTTTTCCAGCAGTCAGTTTCCATCGTTCAGAAGAGTTTTCCAAACGTCCCGGTGAACATGGAGCCTAAGCTTGTTAAAGCTGTGTTTGCCTTGCTACTGACTTGCATGTAGGAAAACATCAGTTCCCAATGTTCAAAAGCCCCAAAATAGTTGGGGCCTACAAACAAAAAAAGAAGTAGTTGCATAGCCTTCAGTCTCCTGCCTGAAGCCGAATTAGTGGATTGATGCAACTTTTTAAGCAAGGAACAAACAGTATTATTAAATGTAGAATATTCTTTTATATGAGGCACATAGCACGATAAATCTTGCACATTTTTTTAAGGGCTCTTAAAGAGGGACAGGAAGCTGTGACTAAAAAAAGGCAAAGGACTTGTCACTAGTATTGCCTGTGGTCTTCCTGCGGCTTATCTTTCCCCATTACTGACTTATCATGCCTTGTTCTGCACTGATCCCTGGTGTGGAAGGGGCCACCTAGGTAGAGACAGAGCTTTGTTTCCTCAGATCAAAGATTTCAGCTGTGTGAGCAGCACAGTATAATCGCCCTGGTTTAAACCATCACCTCATATAGACAATACCACACAGACCTAAACCATATAAAATGCATCAAGACCGGGTCTAAATCTGTCAATAATATAACATCATTGTATCTCACTCAGGGGCTGGGGCTGACAAAACTCATGAAAAAGGGGGGCATCCCCCGAGCAATAGGGGATCATGGGACCCAATGTTTGTGTCCTTCAGTAGCCAAAGAAGGCATTTCAAAAAAGGGGGGTTTGTGAAAAACTCAAAAAAGCGGCTATGAAAAAGGTACCAGGAAAATTTTTCCATCTCATGGGACCCCCAGATACTGACACTATGGGCTTCGCCCTGGTTTACCATCACCCCGACAATAACACACACAGACCTAAAACCATATATAAAATGACATCAAGGACCAGTGCTAAATGTAGTAAGTCTAATATCTGTAGTACAAACAAGGTGGTCAGTGAAGAGGCTTGTATCCAAAAATTATACCATGTATACCATATATTCAATAATGAATTTCACCAAAATCATAATGGTGACTCCACGTCAGGGAAACAGCAGCACCTTAGATCTCACATGTATGAAACACTAAGCGCTGAGAGGGGAATAAGCCTCAGCTGTTTATTAGGGTCAAATATATGATGCAATACATTTGTTGGGCCAGGAGTGCCGAGGCACTTTCTGTTCATAAAGCTCATAGCCCCATTTATTCCCAGGATGGGAGTACAAGGGTGCAGATTGCATATTTTTCAGGAGGATATTCCAGACAAAAAAGCAGAATGCTTTTCATGTGGGGCTTGCATCAATACTACTAATATTGGCCCAATATATCTAATGTCCTTTAACATTTCTAACTATTCCCTATAACAAAGCAAATCTTCACACAAGCTTAGCTCCACTTTAGTAATAGAGCTTAGCTCAACCCAGTGTCACCTGTGAGCCTCCTGCAGTGATTTGTGCCGCACAGACAATGTTGACTTTGATGAAAAATGGCTTTGTTGAAAGACATATTGAGATTCCCGACTGTAGACAAAGCAAATATTTTAAAGATTAAGTGTCATTAATTATTGTGCTTACTGCATTTTTGACAATAAAGATTCCCTGTTCGGGCACTTTGTAAATATGAATGGATACACCTCTTAAGTGTTTGATGTGTTTGTATACAGGCTAGCTTGCAGGAACAATGTCATTTTATAAATAAAGGTCTGTGTAGAGCAGAGATGGTAAACCAGGGCGATCATATGTCAAATATGGTGTTCATAATGTAACTTCTACACACTCCAATTGGTCAGTCCGGAAATGCGACTAGCAGTAATAGATCTCACACTGCTGATATATAGCTATTAGGATACCAGGAAGTACAGTGATATGGGCCCAGAGGTCTCAAATTCTTGCTTTTCCATGTGTTTACTAAAAGCCCAACCATTCTAACTATTCCCTATAACAAAACATCTGAAGCACAATGTAATATATTCATTGTGAAAGTCAGGACACAGTGAAATAATCATTCTATATACAAATAAAGAACAAACACTCATTTTCTGTTTAGTATCCAGCTGAGAATTCCATATAAGCTGTATAAAGACACAGATGTTACGGATGGGCCCAGCGTTACTATATCAAATTGTATGAAGAAACACATAGCATGCCAGAATATTCCATATAATAATGGGACAATGCGTATGAAACACTAAAAATGTCTTTTGATTTCCACTATCAAGCCGCATTACACAGGGTTACAAAATCCAATAAATACATACATAATGCTGTTATTGCAAAGCTTTGTAACATGCTGTGAAGTCAAGAAGGTTCACTGAATTGTTTTTCAAAATACACAAAATTTCCTGCAATGCTGAAAAGCAATTGGATGGCATTTACCAGGCTAAGACTGCCAAGATTTAAAATAAAATATACAGAGTAACAAATAAACCAAAGGAGACTAAGATATCTATTAACTTTGTTTACCCAAGATGGGAAGAGGGACCACTAATCTTAAAATGAAAAAGTTATAAAAGAAAGATTATATGGAAATGCCACTGGTATTATTCATACCTCTCCCAAGTATTCAAAAACAGATTCTAAAGTGTTAAAGTAGTCATAAGAGACTGTTAGGAATTATGTCCTCATGCTAATATCATTTCTATTGCCTCTGTCTGTGCCTGCTGAGCTTT